AAGTCCAGCCCAGAGTTCCCAGGATCCCTGTTGATGTTTCACCAAAGCACAGGAGTGGGAAGGAGGCAGAAGGAGAGGAAATGGTGTTGATGGTGTTGATGGTATTGATGGTATTGTCTTTTATCCCAGGTGAATCCAGTTCCCCTGCAGAGGAGCAGGTATGTTATCCTTTGTGCCACTCAGGAAAGAAATTAGATAAAGCAGTGGAAAGCATCACATGAGAGGATTCTGTCCTAAGAATGGAGTCACACAGGCACTCCCACATCTTCCCACCTCTTGTCCTCTCTCTCTGACAGCTCATGGAGCAGTAACCCTCTAATGTGACACCAAGACAGGTTTGCATTTTCAAAGCTTCTGCTGTTGCTAAGCAAAGGAGTTCTCAGTTTGTTATTCTTTGTAAACGCAGCTCACAGGAAGAATGAAATAAATGAGGAAGAGAGATATTAAAAACAGCTGATAAGAACAAAGCTGAAAGGACTTAGAAGTTTTCAAGTCAGATTTAGCCCCTATTGCACTGGTGGCACCTTGAGGTCCAGTTTACAGTGACAAGTTCTGCTGCTAGGGACTGGATTAATGGTATGGTATGTATAGCCTCCTCCTCTCCCAGTGAGACTTGCCCTTCCTGGAGCCCCATGTTCTCACATCAAACTCTATTTCTTGTTCTTTGAGCCCAAAGAACAAACTGATTCATTCAGATGAAAATAAAGGAAATTAGAAGAAGGCACAATACTGTTTGTGGCAGAGCACACCCCAAGTAAAGCCCTGCTTGCAAGTAAGCAGTGACCATCCATGGGAGAGCAGCTGAAAGAGGAGAAGAAGAAGGCTTCATCCTTTCATCATGATTTATCAGAGGTGATTGGAGGGGAGAAATACCACATGATTAAAAAAAAAAGTTATAGTAGCCTCAGGGCAGCCTGGGTGCAGGGAAGGGGACACCAGGCAGAGCAGCTGAGTCTCTGGAAGCACAGGCAGAAATGCAGGCAGGAACCTGGGACGGGGCTGCCAGGCTGCACAGGCTTCAAAATGCTCTGTTTTTTCAACCGTTTCTATTTTCTTTGAGTGCTGAATGTTTTTGCAGGAAAGGGAAAAAAATCAGAGGGAAAAAGACCAATATCCTTTCTAAAAGCAGACCTGGTGGAAAATTTGCAGTCTGCTCTCTTGAATACACCAGGATTTGCTTTACTGTCTGCCTTGCATGATTACATCTTGTGTTAACATTCAAGACAGGCAGCAGGCAGAGATAAATCCTGAATGACTCCAAACTTTGCTTCTTCCATCTCTTCCATCATTAGGCAGGTTCAGACAAAGCCTGTACTGGAGGCTGGCTGCAAGAAAAGAATTTTTGATGGCAGTGCAACCAAAAGAGCTTGGCTCCTGTACATTTTTCTCCAAGCATGAGCAAATCCATGTTTTACCAGCAAGCTGGGATGCCCTATTAACAGAATAGGTCTTTGCTGGCAGGCACAGAAGTCACAGCATGTGTTATGTCCATCAACTAAAGACAATTTAAGAAGCATGCAAAGATCCATGAATATGTCCTGAGGAGTGCAACAAAGGTGGTGAAAAGGCTGGACGAATGTCTTTAGAGGAGCAGCTTAGGACTTTGGGCTCATCTAGTCCAAGAAAGGGGGCTCAAGGTAATGCTATCTACAGGTTCCTGATTAGGGGAGGTACTGAGCTCTTCCTGGTATCTAGTGATAGGTCACATGGGAATGATTCAAAGATGTGCCAGAAGAGGTTTAGACTTGGCATCAGGAAGCATTTCTTTGCAGAGTGGGTGGACAGACATTGGAATAGGCTTCCTAGTGAGGTAGCGAATGCCCCCAGCCTGTCAGTGTTTAAGGGACATTTGGATAATGCCCTGAACAACATTCTTGAACTTTTGGTCAGCCCTGAATTGGTCAGTTGAACAGGATGATTGCTGTAGTCCCTTCCAATAGAAACAGTCACTTCTTTTCTGTTCTATTCCACTGACATAAATAAAAAGAACATGCAATCAAACTTCCACCAGAAAACACAGACAGCATGGTACTGCCCAGCCTCCAAGGAGTTTCTCTGACAGTGTTTCATGATCCAGCTCTCCAGTCCCTTGATGAGGAAGTGAGAGCTGAATTAAGCAGCTTTCAGTAAATCTGAGCTCACTCCAAGGTGGTGAAGAGCGAGCCATAGCCACTGACCTGTGCCAGTGGCTGACCTGTCTCTGTAGGGGAACACACACTTTATTTCAGCAGTCAGTCAAGCTGCAGATGGATGAGGGATGTTCCTCCGTATTACCCCTGTGGCACTGGTTGCAGCTCCATGAGAAAATTTATGCCAGTCTCCACAGAGACATTGTCTGGGGTGAGATGAGATTTTGCAAGGGCTGAAGTATTTTATAGCTGAGAGACAATCACAAGCCCTGGAGCAGGACCACTGACAGTGCTGGGGGACCTTTGGAGAGGGTAATGGGGGCTATTGGGGAAAGCTCAAGAGGCAGGAGAAGGACAAGCAGAGCAGTCTCAGGGACAAGCGGGAGGATGCCTTGTTTTTCACTGGGAAACAGGGAAATTTATCCTGGGAGCAGCTGGAGCTTGGAGAAAACCATCTGCTTCCTGCTCTCTTCCTTGGGCCAAGGTCTGGAGAAGGAGCCAGAGCCAAGGCTGCCAAGTGTCAGGGAGAGACTTCAAGGTCCCCCATGCAGCGCAGGCTGCCCCAGCTGCATGATCTCCCACCAACACATGGGGCCTTGGCTATCAGTCCTATGCCTTTGGGAAAGTCCATGGCTTTGGAAAACATAGGAGATTTAACCTGCAGTCACCCATGTCTACAGCATTGTCATTGGGATGGGAAAGCATGGGAGGTGAAGAGGGCACAGGAAAAGGTTAAAGCCATGTAATGACATAGGGATGATGGGACACATCATCCAATTTGTTTGTCCAAGGAGCAGGTGCCTCTGTGAGGTGGCCTGAACCCTGCCATGTGCAGAAGGATGAAACAAATGCCAAGCAGAAATGGGTCATCCTCCTCCTGGACAATTATGGTTATTTTTCTTTATTTTTTTAATGAATATCATTTATGTTATTCATTAAATACTCACTAAGGAATGGGTGCTGGCTCATGTTTATTGGTTGATATATCTCTACATGTCTGCAAGAATTTTTCACCCTTAGCCAAGCCAGGGAATGGCAGGAAGGCTGGAAATGGCACGTTCTGGTGTGACTACATCACACATCTGTGGAGAATGTGAGAACAACATGTTGGGGTGAGGGATGGCAGCTTCCTATTTGTGTCCTACTGCAGCTTGGGAGCTGCAGGATTTTTATGGGGCCCTGAGTCATGTGAGTTCCCTCCTCAAGAACCATGCTCTGTACAAAACCATCTGTTTTGTGATCATGGGTGCCTGTCAGTGGGCCAACCATGCCCTGTTGTACCCACTCATGACCTGTGACTATCTGGACAGGCTGGATGGATGGATGGACCAAATGTGTGAACTTCAATAAGACCAAGTGCCAGGTCCTGTCCCTGGGTCACAACAACTCCTGCAGCTCCAGGCTGGGGTAGAATGGCTGGAAAGCTGCCCAGTGGGAAAGAACATGGGAACTGCTTGACAGAAGCTGAACATGAGACAACATCAGTTTGCCCAGGTGGACAAGAAGGCCAGTGGTATCCGGCTTGGATCAATATTAATAAAAGCAGCAGGATTAAGGAAGTGATCCTTGCCGTGTACTTGGCACTGGTGAGGCACTTCAAGTGCTGTGTTACAGTTCTGGGCCCCCCAATCCAGGAACGAGATTAAGGCGCTGGAGGCAAGTTCCGAGAAGGGCAACGGAACTGGTGAAGGATCTGGAATCCATCTCCTGTGAAGAACAACTGAGGGTGTTTAGGGGGTCTTTATCACTGCCTGCAACTCCCTGAGGGGAGGGTGTATCTGGGGGTCAGTGTCTTCTCCCAGGCAACCAATGACAGGATGAGGGGATGTAGAATGACAGAATAAGCTGAGTCGGCAGGGAAACACCAGGATCATCGAGTCCAGCTCCTGGTCCTGCACAGGGGACCCCAAGAGTCACCCCTTGTGCTTGAGAACATTGTCCAAATGCTTCTTGAATTGCATGAGGCTTGGTGTTCTGTCCCTTTCCTTGGGGAGTTTGTTCCAGTGCCCAACTACCCTCTGGTGAAAAACTTTTTCCTGATATCCAAACTAAACCTCCTCTGACACAGCTTGATGCCATCCCCTCAGGTCCTGTCACTGGGCACCATAGAGATCAGTGTCTGCCCCTCCTGTCCCCCTCATGAGGAAGTTGTAACTACAATGAGGTCTCCCCTCAGTCTCCTCCAGGCTGAACAGACCAAGTGACCTCAGCCTCTCCTCACACAGCTTCCCCTTGAGGGCCTTCATCATACTTGTTGCCCGCTTTTGGGCACTCACTAATAGCTTAATGTCTCAAGCTGTGCCAGGGAAGGCTCATGTTGGACATTACGAAGAATTTCTTCACAGAAAGGGTCATAATACATTGGAATGGGCTGCCGGGGGGGTGATGGAGTCACTGTCTCTGGAGGTATTTGAGGAAAGACTGGACATGGCACTCAGTGGTGGTGTTAGGTCATAGGTTGGACTCGATACTGTCGGTTTTTTTTCTAACGACTCGATGCCTTGATTTTGTGACCCCACGCTACACAACAGCCCCGTGTCTCCCTCCCACCCACACGTGACTCCTCCCCCGGACGGCCGCAGCACCCACGAGCGCGGCCCCTTTAAAGGCACGCGGAGGCGGGGCGTAGCGCGCGGCAGCGCGTGCGGCGGGGCGTGTCCCGGGGCGAGGCAGGGCGTGGCCTGGCTGTGCGCCGGGGCACGGGCGGGCGTGCGGCGGGGGCGTGGCCCGGTGCGCGGGGGCGTGGCTAACGGAGCGGCGGGGGCGTGGCCGGCGCGGCGCGCTGAGGTCAGCGCGAGCGGCGCCGTCACAAAAGGAAGTGGCGGCGGCGGGGCCGTCAGCGCGGGGAGGGGCGGGGGCGGCACCGGCACCACCGGCACCGGGACCACCGGGAGCGGCACCGGGAGCGAGGAGGCGGCCGCGGCGGGGGCCGCGCCGCGCCATGGCCCAGCAGCAGATGAGCAGCTCGCAGAAGGCGCTGATGCTGGAGCTGAAGTCGCTGCAGGAGGAGCCGGTCGAGGGCTTCCGCATCACCCTGGTCGATGAGTCCGACCTCTACAACTGGGAGGTGGCGATCTTCGGGCCCCCCAACACACTCTACGAGGGCGGGTACTTCAAGGTACGGGCCTTTTCCCCGCGCCGCGGGCCGCGGTGTGGGGCTGGGCCGGGGCCAGGCCTGCGGGAGGGGGCACGGGCACGGCCTGGGCAGAGGGAGAGCCGCGCCACAGCCGCCGCTGCGCTCTTAATCTACTCTTTTAGCCCCAGAGAGCCTCCTGGAGAAACCTCGGTGAAGGGTGAGAGTTCTCCCCTTCCGCCCCAAGTTGCCCGCTGGGCTCTGCTCTGTGTGTATTTCACAGAATTGTTACAGTTGGAAGGGACCTCTGGACATCATCTCGTACCGTATTTCCATATCCTTGCAGTACCTGAAGGGAACTTAGAGAAAAGATGGGGCAAGACTATTTACAAGAGCATTTAGGGGCAGAAGAAGGGGGGAATGGGTTTGAACTGAAAGAGAGTAGATTTAGCATAGATACTAGGATGAAATTGTTCATTGTGAGGGTGTTGAGGCACTGGCCCAGGTCTAGAGAAGCTGTAGATGCCCCATCCCTGGCAGAGTTCAAGGCCAGGTTGGATAGGGCTTGGGGAGCAACGTGGTCTAGTGGAGGATGTCCTTGCCCATGGCAGGGGAGCTGGAACTAGATCCATCTTCAAGGTGCCTTCCAACCCAAACATTTTGTGATTATGTGATATTTATTTCAAATTAAGTGGTTTCTGAGCCATCCCTTAATAGCTTCACTCATTGATGGCTTATTCAGGGTAAAGGCAGTGTTTTCCTCAGGGCTCCATGGGCTTCAAGGCTGTTTGACACAATTATTTTTCTACTCCTGTGCTCTTCCTCTCCACACTTTAAGAAAGCAGCCTTCAAAGGGCTGTGGCAAGATATGATGGGTGAAGGTAGATTCAATTCCTTTCTCAGTCTTCCTGTTAATACAAAAAAACTTTTGTAATTGCTATTTCCACTCTTGTGAGTACAGCAAATAAGAAATCTGGCACAGCCATCCCAGGAAAGAGCTGAAGGGAGTGTACTTAAATTATCAAAACAGCTGGAGAAGGGAGTTGCACCTTTTTCTTAAAACAAGCAATTGGAAAACCTTTGTACCTGCAGAAGATGTGTTACATTAGGCACACTCCTCTGTGCTTGGTATCTGCTTGATCTCTGGCAAAATACTGTCCCCATGAGCTTGCTTTTCCCAGCAGTTAACTGTTTTAGTTGTGGCTCCTGCATCTCCCATTTCATGCCCTTTGGCTTCTCTCAAACTGGAAAAAAAAAAATCTGGGTGATGTCTTTGCTTGACTAACGTGCACCTTTGGTGCCTCTTGGCCTCTACAGGTCAAGGTTTAAGAGCTTTGTTCCACAAAACCAAAATAACCTGTAGCTTGGAGAATAATGGATTTGAGTCACATTCAGTTTGGCTTCATTGTTAGGAAGGAAAGGAAGGCTTTGGCATAAGACTTGCCTTTTGTAATGAGTTGGCTGGCTTACTCATGTAGGTGTGATAGGTATATTCTTAGACTCACCTCCATTATTACTTATTCAGGAAGTCACTCTAGTCTTTGGTTGGTAACAGTGTCATCTTTACATCCGAATGGTCTGGTGACCTCTTCCTGCACTTATATTACTCATCCATTTTTTTTCAAAGAAATCATGACTGATCAAAATAGTTTTGTTTGGTTGGGGAGCTCTCTGGACTGCGTATTTGCAGTTGCTCCTGAAAAGAAGCTGAAGCTGCCTGGGAGATAATTTGGGGATGTGTATTAACAAGTGTAGCAAGGCTCCCAGTTGCCTTACCGCAGCACTGTTATTGGGTTTTTGGGTATTTGATGTCTTTGAACTGCTGTGTCTTTCTTCTAAATTCTCTTGACCAATCCTGTGATAGTTGTTTTGAGAGTGGGAAGATGAGGTCTCCTGATGCTTCCACCCCTCCCCAGCAGTGGGATTCCCTTCAAGTTCCATGGCTGAAATCTCTCATGTGCTGTTTCTGTCTCATCTTTGCTCCACAAGGAGCCGTGTGTGGCAGATTTTCATAGTGTCTGATCTTTGGTTATGCATCTTGACTTCTGAGACACTGAAAAAGGAAGGAGTCCTGTGAGAAATGGTATTCTTGGCTCTCTGTCTTAGGTCTTTACATGTGTTAGACTCTACTTATGGAATCATTTGGAGATAAGAATAATGCCCTAACTTTATTTGATGGGTGACTTCTGCAATATATTAATTGTACATGCTGCTCTGAACTAGTGCTCACCTTGCATGTGTTTAATTTTCCGGATTTTTTAACTTGATGAAATATTTAGCTTTACCTTGTTTTGTATTTTCAGTTTGGTAAGGTTAAAGAAGTGGAATTAGAAAGATGCAATTACAGAATGTAACTTTTTTAAACTTTGTGCCAGTGAGAGTTTGGGAATTGTGTTCCACTTGAAGTATAGTTTAAGGGCAGGAACTTGAGGGAAAGTACATGGGCTTCTAGTTAAGCTAGAGTATAAATATTTAAAGGAAAACTTGTGGTTAAGGTTGCTTTAATAAGGAAAGTGTTAGGGATGGTTGTTTGGGGAATACAATTGCTTGATTTGCATTTTGGGAGCTCTTAGAGGTAGTCACATCAACTTTTGGCACCTTGTTTGTTCTTGGAGAAATATGACCTTTCTCTCTCTCTGGGCTGTTGAGCTGGTGGAATAAACTGAAATGAGGGAAGTGCTCTCTCTACACCTCCTTGACAGAAGCTACTGTCTAAAGCTGGTTCAGCATTTCAACAGATTCTTGTTTCAGTTGCAAGTCCTGTAGCTCTAACATCTGATAAACTGAAGCAGTGAACAAGTCCCCTCAAATGTTTGTTTAAAAATGGTAGGTTGTCCACATGCTGGCTATAATAAAGTCAGAGACTTCTTAAAATTTCAAGCACAGTGTCTAAGCATATTTTATCACCTAATATAGCATGCTCAGATCTGCTGAAGTGCTTCAGGGTTTAGGACTGCCATCTAGATGGAAGTGGAAGCAGCTTCCAGGAGCAACAACTATATGAAAAGCAGCTTGTATCAGCAAGGAATCATGCAGCAGCTCCCCCACCCCATTCGTGTGATCAGCTGAAGGTGGACATCTGAAGTGCAACTTATATCAACCTTTGTCTTACCTATTGACTGTATTCCCAGTTGTGCTGGATAGCTTTGTAATGTTTTGACCAACCCTTTACTTTCCTGTTTGACCAACCCTTTACTTTCCTGTCTACCATCCCCAAGGAAGGAGTTGAGCTATTTGGCATGGGGAAAATAGTTCAGAGGCAGTGATGTTAAGTCCTTCAAAGAGGTTTTGATAAGAGCAGATGTCTGTCCCTCAGCTGCTGGCAGTAAGAAATGGCCAGTTTGACTGAAGTTTTAGCGGAATCAGTTTTGTTGGGCCACAGGTATTGGACTGCACTAGGTGAACTTGGTTTTTGGTCCCAGACTCACTCACAGAGTGTAAAGGTGAAATGTTGGTAGACCTTGTATGTCCAAGATGTTGCTTACATCTGTTTCACTTGCTGAGTTTTTTGAGTGACAAAGTGAAGATTTTTCTCAGAATGAACTGCTTCATGTCCAGGTCACAGATAGTGACAGTTTCTTCTTTCTTACCTCAGCTGCAAAGGACATGATGTGATGGATAAGATGGGTCATTAGATCAGATTCCACTGGGCTATGTGGTAGTTCTGAATTGCTGTGGAAGTGATGGAAATGTGTTTTTCTGGTTTTGCAGGCAGTGCCTGAGCAGCAGAGAATCAGCATGTACCATAATGTGCAGAACTAAGTGTGAGCAGTTCGTCAGTGTTACCTTTATGCTGCAGGCATCTTCTGTTCATCTGAGAGGGTCCTTTGCTACATGGCAGAACTTCTTCACCTTTAATTTTGGCACCTGATACATAAAACATGAAACATACATGTTGTGGTGATGTCCACCACAACAAACATTGTGCTGTAATCTGGTGTTGATAGGTACTTCTTGGGCTAGATCTCAATGGCTGAGGGCTGTGCATGGTGAAATCTTTACCATCTCAGGTGACCGTTCTTCTCTATATTGAAATTTTCTTTAATGCTTGAGCCTTCAAAGCCTGGAGGTTGATGAACTTCTGCCCAATGCTTTGATCAAGTTGTGGACACTTGCAGGACTATTAGAAACTGTTTCCTGATGGCTTGCTTGAGGTCCTGAATGTTTGGTGCAATTGTACCTTAGCAACAGAGCTTTTAATTGTTTTTGAAAAAGACTGGTCTTCTAATTTTTTTAGTTGCATGGTATTCTTATGCTAAGAGCCAGAGTTTCAGGGGAGGTACAAATGAGAAATTATACAAATAGAAACTTCATTAGCACTGCTCAGAAGCATGATTTGACCAAGTACACTGTGTCAAGAATGTTTAATGTAGACCAAAAGTCAATATTAAAAACCCCTTCAGAGGTGATTCAGGCTGGGTGAATTAAAATGAATATACCTAGCATGAAAGGAAACAAGAAAAATTAGCTACATTGTTAGAGTTACTATTTCATAGTTCTTAAGGCATTTTATTTCATAAGGTGCTTTTCCTACTTGAAGGAACAAGCCTTGACACATCAGTTGGAAGGGAAGAAAAACACCAAGCATTATGATTAGTTTTGTCAAGTAATTTGGGGGCTAAATACTTGGCAAGGCATTGTTGCCCATGCTTTTTGTAATTCATTACCCCTATACTGTATAGAGTTCTGTATTGTGTCTTAGCATCTTCCAGGTGATTTGATTTCAAAGTAACTTGCAAAATGTGTTAAGATCTCAGAGCAGGAAATAGAGAACCAATTAGTTACCAATAACTGAATGAACACCATGTTTAAAAGTTTCATATTGTAGTCTACTTCTCAAAGCTTAAAATGAAGCAAATAAAGTTTTCTAAGCACTTAGAATTACACAACTGGTAGAACATTCAATTCCACAAAAGTATCCTTAATGCCAGGATAAAAATGTGAGGTACTCAACACAAAAACTGCCTTCCGTGGGTCTCTGCATTGGACGGTCCTACTGAGTTTCTCTCTGTGTACTTGATCTATTTTTGTTGCCTTTAGGTATC